TTGTGATTTGAGTCAGGTGTAACTGGACAGAGCGAACAACTCGAAATTCTGAGTGAACGGAAAACGAATGAACGGAAAGAGTTCTGCAGTTCTGCAATGAGCTACTTTAACTCCATATGGAAATGAACTGATCATTGCGCACAACACCGACCGGAGTAACGTTTTCTAAGCAGTTCATAAAAACAGGTCAGATGCAGGAATTTCATCATCATGATCATTTCTTATTTAGAATTCATACCAAACGCCTAATCGGACACCGACAGAAAGTCAATAAGTGACGTCGAACAAATTTATCCGGTCGTTTTGTTAGAGTGCTGAAGCTCATTTATGAAACATAAACGGAAAGAACAGATAACAAATGAATATTTATAACAATTCAATAGTATCTTGGTCATTTTTCATAATGTTTATAATTGGTTTGTATATTTGTGGTGCTGCATGAATTCCCCAAATGAAATCAAAATGGTTGAAGTCGGCCAATTCGTTATTTTCAATGATGTATTCCTTGGGAATCACTGCCAGTAAACCATCCTGAAAGTATGCTTTCATAGTGGAGCTCTTTAAAATCTAAGGGTAGATGTGATGTGTTAAGTTACTTCTTTGAGAACACGGCTCCCAAACAAAATGAAATCAAATAGCGACACATCCAGTTTTGTTCAGCTTGACAATGCGATTGCAGACACATTCTTGCTTGATTAACTTTCAAGTTAAAGGAAATACTGTCCAATTAAAAACTTGGTTCACCTGTATATCACGTTTATCTGCCAGCCAGTCTGCATCACTCCAGTACAAATAAACCGGAGCGTTTACGAGTGATAGATTGTAAGCGGGCGGTGTAGGCTGTAACAGAACATTTTTGAAATATTCACCGATAGGCATCTGAATCCAATGGAATCGATCCGAACGTGACTGCGATTCAAACGTTGTGTTCTCTGATCACTTGATGGTGCAATGAAAGCCATGGAAAACGGTTCTGTCACGATTGCCGAATATGCTCTACTTCAGAACATCAGTGGTATGTTCCAAAATTGGTGTAATTTTTTCGCACTTGATGGTTCTGAAGTTAATTTCAAAAACTCACAGAGCCATATCGCTTCATGTTTTTCTCTTCCGATCCCAAATCGTATTTCTGAACTCGTTTAGCGTTCACCATTTGTGCCCAATGAACGAGATTCGCTAGCGACGTTCCAGCTGGCAAATGTGTCATATAGACTGGAATTCGGGTCTGCAATTCAAAAAGTTTCTCATTCACTAGTCAATCAATATTAATGATTATAGCAGACAACTATAAGGTAATTACAGATTGCGAGGGACTGGCGCACTGAGAACAACGCTGAACGGTGTGAAATTATCACCTGATTCATCTGGCTCGTGTCAGGACCAGTCATTTGGAACATTATATTCTCGCAGTATTCGACGACTTGTGTAAGTGAACAAGTTGCTTTACTCATTTTGCGAAAGAGCGAATTGTTTGGCATGAATTCACCGTTGAATTTGGCCAACACCTGGAACTCTTCACTTACATTATGAATTGGAAGAATATGGAATCGAACATGCTGAGATGTTAAACTTTCGACAATGAAACAAATTCATTGATGTTATCAGATATCAACTGAGGTGCAAATTGAGTATTGATATACCATTAGTGCCTTCATGAATTTCTTCGCAGCTGACTCAATAAGTCCTTTGATATGAGCCAGTGTACCAATAGGTCCCAAAGCGAAAAACTTACGAATCTGAAAATCGATTGACATTGATCTGATCGACACCGCATTGATATGAATGGTTCCAAGAGTGACACTAGAATGAATTTTTGAAATTTTATTAAATAACTTTAGAAGCGAATGTTTGATCCGAAGCAAGTCGTGCGAACATCGTGAGTGTGCCTTCGGAATAACCAACGTAATACAAGTGCTCCTGATTTGTGACATTCAGAGCATAATTTATCATTGTTGGTAGATCAATTTCAGAGATATCCTCCCATCTGAAATCGATAACATAATGCTGCATAAATTATAATAATCCCATAGATTTTTTGCCACAGATTTACTGGATTATTTCGGCCCAAGGGTTCGTCTGCTTGGATTAAACATGGAGGATTTTAAGGAAAATAGTCCGAGTGCAAATGCACTCATTTCTAGGAACTCTTAATTGTAAGGAACATCTTGAAGAACAATTTTCAGGACACTGCAGATCGTGATAATGTTTCTATGAGAACTAACGTGAACGCCCAATACTCTCTTTGTCCTCGATTGTAATCGGTGTGTCCCGTTGAATACGTATTGCCTCTAGCATTACCCATCCAAACATCGAAACCGGCATCAGCAAACAGAAAACCTGAACTTTCGTTCTCTTCAAAAGGGTTAGTTCCACGAAGCAAGTGCCAGTTTGCAGAGCAGAGGAAATTCTTTGGTCAAGTGTTCGGAAAGAAGACGCAATAAGTGCCAACCTGCCGACTGATTCAGCAAGTTCGTTACCCAAACTGCACTCGAGCCGATGAAGCCGTGCTGCAGAAAAACAACCGGTCTCTTGTCATCTGGTTTCCGGCGATTTTCTGAAGAGCTTTCCTGTCTTGCTTTTTGTTTGTATGGCTTTTCTGAATAGTTCGTGANGAAAATGTGATCGCTTGCCTTGTCGACTGAACGGAATTCGATGCAACTGCAGAATATATCCATCTTCGGTTGTAACATGGTGAATCTCTGCTGGATATCCATGGTATTCAATTATTTGCGGCTGAATCAAATAGAAATATTCGAATGAATGGAAAGCTACAACGAATGATTTTCAAGCGGATTCACTCATCAGTTCTTCGTCGTTCATCTGATCGCCACTCAAAAAGATCACAAACTGCTATCGAATCAGTCTTGTTTTCATAACATATCAATGTACCGCTGAATGGATAGCGTTTCTGGGTTCATTAACCTCTCATTGACGGAAACTGATATTCAACAACCAGATTCATCAACGACAAGCCGAATAATTCCCCGTTTAAGTCATGAAAAATGAAGAAATGATTGATAGAGGAAGTGAACATTCAGTAGTGATGTTTGATTCCTATCTTTCACATCACTTCCTATAACTATCCTTGTGATGTTTTCCGAGCCGAAGATCAGTAGAAATGGTGAATATCAATTGAAGTGAGTGGTGATACGCTGAATGAATGCACTTACCGTTGTCATATTTGCTTCGGGCAGCTTAACGGATTCAGCATATTCACAGTGAATCAGTAGAATCATTAGAATGCAAAGCCAAATGCATGATGATCGCCACATTCTTGATGTTAGCCGTTTGAATAGTAGCTGAAGCCAAACTGAAGCCAATTGTTCAGTTTCGTTACCGGAATGCAAAACAACAATTTTTGATCAACTGATGAACAGTTGTTTTTGAAGCGAATCGATACAAATCTCTCACTTCGTCGTGACAATTGATATCAATGACAGGATTATAGATATACGTTGTTATTGATCAACACAAGCATTTAGTTTTTGATAGTGTGTTCAGTCGAGTAAATTTTACAACGAAAGCTCGATGATCGGATAAAATCGCCGCTGTTCAAACAAGCTGTATGAATGCTGATCCTTTGACGAATTCAACTATTCCATTCAATTTTTCCCCATCAAATATTTGTGCTCAATTCAAATGATTCATGGAAATCAAAAGCGCAATTTTATTCACATTCAATCAAATAAATGACAACAATAGTAAGAAAAATGCTCAACGTTCACAACGTTCAGAACGGTGGAAGAAACGAAAAACGTTGAAACGAATACACGAATACACTGCATAATTGATGGACATATTGATACATTAAAGCAATCAATGTTCTGAACGGCGAAAAAAAAA